GAAATGTTCGTTGGTTTTGTTTTGTTTTTGTAGTATTTTTGAATATTTTTTTTGTGTCGTTCATTCGTTTGATTATTTTAAATTAATTTCGTCTCCTCGCTGTTCTCACCGCTTTTGAAACAATTTTCGAGTGGTTCAGTTAATGAATTGATAACAGAAGATGAGTGCTCAGATCAAAATGAAAACAGTTCGAAAAGTTTTTGCTGATAAAGCTGTTGAAAATACGAACTGAAATATTTGTTTTTGTGGAATGAACCAATGAAGATCTTCGTTTCAATCGTATGTAATAAGTAACAATCCATTTAGATGTTCACGAGAGTGATAATGTTCAAGTGAAGGTATAATTTTCAGATAACATTACGACATTTGACAACAATAGACGCCATTTCAGCGTTACAAGCACATCAAGGCGCTATCGCAGATTTTGATGTTTGTGGGAATAAACTGATCACTTGCGGTTATTCACCGAGGTAGTTTCTTTTGGGAAATTTTGATCTTCCTGATGTTGAATCAGCCATCAGTTTAGTTCACGGTTAAGCTGGTTTACCTTTGAATTTGACAAATTAAAGAAAACATTTCATTTTTGGTTGTGAGAAGTTACTAGGATGAACGTAAAAATGTTCATCAAAGAAGTGTGATCTGCTAATCACAACTCTCAATTATCACCATTATCATATTTTTTGTTCGTAAGCATCATTCTTTCCACCGATCAGGAAATCATTTTGATTCATCGATCGACGAGGTGTAGGGGCCGGGCAGCCTTGATTTCCTGCTTGTCAATGATTTTTTCTTAAATTTTAGAGAGAAGCGTGAAATGAATTTCGTAGAAAATAGAATATGATTGAGCTTCACTGAAAAATCGTTGGTGAGAAATCATTGAGGGGAATATTTTAGGATGGGAAATCTGACTGGTGATCGGTTTCTGATGGTGTACGATCTGAGAACATTACGACCAATGCCATTAGTACCGTTACCAATTGCACCCTCTTTTTGTCGCTTCTTACCGTCTTATTCAGACAACCGCATTATGGTGTCTTCACAGGTGAGAAGCAAACTGCGTTGTTTGAGTTTAATTTTATTGCTTATTTTTGTTGTTTGAGATTTTTGTTAAGAATGTCTGTTTTTTTTGCAAAACCATTGTACATTATCCTCTAAAAAACTTTAGATTATTTTTGGGAATTTGTTTGTGATTTCAGAATATATAAAATATATATTCATTTCTTGAATTGAATGCGCTGAATTTCATTCTAATCTTTTAAAATGATGTGTGATTCTGGGGAAATTATCAACAATTTGATGGCTTCGAGAGTTCAGTGGTATTGAAGGGGGTGATATTTCAGGCAGGAGAATTGATAGTGATGGATTTGAACGATCAGACTGGTCAACAGATTCCCATACAGTTGGATACGAATGGTTGTGCGATATTTTCACTGGACATTAGCCCGTCACGGCAGTGCATTGCATTCGGTGACCAAACAGGCAAGTGAACATGGAATTAATTGCTTTTTTTATGTTTATTTCATTTTTGTGGAGAATTTGGAAGTGTTTCGTTGTTTCATTTGATATTCATTGAAGTTTCGATTCAAAA